ACGACAGCTGGTGTGACGTCACACAGGTAAGAAGATTGTCATCAACCAGATCAATGAAGGCTACCTTTTATAGCGAAAAAATAAGGAAAACTTCATTTATCTTTTTATTTAATCATCTGTTGCAGGTATATTCAAACAAAAGTAAAGATCGCCCTACTATACTTAAAAGACAAAGTAAAAAAGATAGTGTCTTCAGAGGCAGATCCAGGTTTTTGAAAAAAAAGGGCCCACAAAGGCAACGTAAGAAGTGGGATTTGTAGAAAGTCTAAGCATTAACAATATATGTAGCTACATAAGCCCCCCCCCCCCCCCTTTTTAATCCGTCTCTGATCTTTCAAATGGTACAAAAAGCAACCGTGTTTGCCGCAAAGTTTTTAATAAGTTAAACATGACACTGTAAGTTGATGGGGGTCTGGATGGGGGTCTTTCATTTCTGTATTCTTTATATTTTTTGCCCATTATTCTCTATTCTTTACTTTTTTTTACCTATTTTTCTCTATTTTTTTTTTTTTTTTTGTCCTGTTTTTCTCTATTCTTTATTTATTTTGACATTTACTCTGCACATTTTGCCCTTTTACCTCTCCTCTGTAAACCCCATTCAGACCCTCGTTGATTGTATCCAGGACTTAATTCGCCATATTCTTTCCATCCAAATATTTCTTTAAATAAACTTTTATTGATAATTAGGCTTTATGCTTGTATATGGTTACATGTTGTATGTACCTTTGGCAGTTAACATTATACAACTGTACTTCGAAGTATTAAATGATATTGTTTATTTTGACTAAAATTTAGTGAAGCTGACTGCATATATATATAAATGTACAGCTTACTTACACATGTATATTAGTATTAAACTACAGTGACACTAAATTGGGAAAATGTGCCTCTCATTTTGTCTCAAAACAAGAATAAAGGAGATGTGTACGATTGACAATTAGAAAAATAGCAACCAACATACAAAGGTGTTAGAACAACGACAGATCACCGTATGGACTTCAACAATGAGTATAACTCCGGTACCGTTGAGTACGCTATCAGATCTCAGGGGTGACAAAATGCGAAACAATTCAAAATAAAGTGACGCTACCAAAATTCAAACTTGATCTGTATTTTGTAGTAATAAGCATTGTGTATAAGTTTCATAACATTTTGTTGAGGCAAACTAAAGTTAGAGAACGGAAACCAAAAATTTAGCATTTTTCCATTTGTAAAGGGGCTTAACTCTAGAACGGTTTAAGTGACGCCACCAAAATTCAAACTTGATCTGTGTTTTGTGGTAATAAGCATTGTGTATAAGTTTCATAACATTTGGTTGAGGCAAACTAAAGTTAGAGAACGTACGGACGGACGGACAAGGGTAAAACTTAATGTCCCCTCCGCTACGGCGAGGGCATAAAAAGAACACCAATGGACTGATTAACACCAAAAGAATTAACAGAAAACAATAATGGCATACGGCAAGCAACGAAAACCACAATTGGGAACACATATCCTACCGTAATGATAGCCGGTAAAGGATGTGATACCAGATACAAAGATTTGGTTCCAACTATAGAACTGAACACCATCAAAGTATACGACTTAAAACAAATGTCGGCTGTTCGACTACACGTATAAGTGTATGTTAAATATGTCCGTTTTCATCGACTTTTAAAACATCTAGTTTACACAAAGTGGCTGGTAACAGATTTTCCCACACCTTCGATAATTGATCTCTAAGTTCCGCTTATTTGACAAGTTTGAGAGATAGTTTTTTAAATTTAAATTCATCCACAACCGCAAACTTAAACATCTTTGATATTGATATGGCCATTGATTGTAGCTTGCGACCAGTGTTTAAACGGCAATAGGTAACTGACAGAAGTTTATAATGACAGTACACAGATACTGCAAGTGGAAGATGGGGTAAATGTTCAAATAAGCTTGTCCTGCATACCGAGTTAAAACAGCATTAGAAAGTTTGAGTAAAACCCTTAAAAATAAGTATAAGATATAATTCATTAACGAAAAATCTAAACAACGGGATTGCTACTAAATAACACAAGTAACCAATAAACAATACAAATATGTAACATTTAAAATTTTAAGTTTGTTTTTTATTTATTTTTTCTTTTCTAAATTACTTAAGAGATAGGACAGATTTGATTTTTAAGAACCTTGTCCTTCAAACTTCAAAACTGTATTTTATTTCATCCAGAGATGAGTCAAAATCGAAATATTGATGAAATTTGAATATTAAAACGTCTTAATGACATACTTAATAAGATTTTCAACATTAAATCTCTATGTTATTAAGCATGACACATGGCTGTGATGGAGAAGTTTGATATATTTTATTTCAAATAAAAGATTTGGTTGTGGATTAAAATTTCCTTTTCGTTCATTCTCTTTTTTTAGGGAAGGGGGGATGAGGAAGGGGGTCGTAAAAACTTAAAATTTGTAACGTTGAAAGAGCCTCTAAGTACGTTATAGATAGAAGATATTCAGGTTTGTTTGTCAACCATGCACAAGCATAGCTTAATATAAAAAAAACCTAGCAGATGTTGTACGATTGCAACTCAGACAAATGTCCACCAAAGGCCAAAGTAAAAGGATGTAATAAATAGAGTTCACCGTACGACATTAAATTCCGCTGACAATCACAATGTGTGTTCCAAATTTCAAAACAGTAAATAAAATTGAAACAAAAAAAAAACGTTTAACTAGTTGAAGTGAAAAAAAAAGAATTTATTATTTAACTGATAATTTAAAACCAAATACTTCGATATCTTATTTAAACGCGAGGTTCCGATTTCTGGAATACCATCAATTCGTTCGAGGTCAAAACGTTATTGGGTTGGGAGCGTCATATAACCTATGGACATATACAGGTCTCCATATCAAATATCAATGACCTACCACTATTGGTTCCCCTTAACCTGACATAATAACATAACTTATACATTTTTGACACTTTCATCGCCGCAAACTGTATGTTGTATTCTTGTCTCCGCGATTTCGCCGAGGCGACACAAAAACATTTTGTTTTCAAAATATTTTGCAATAGTTTCTACAAGCATTAACAACCTTACCCAAGTGAATTAGTTCTCTCAGAAAGAGTTTAAATTTCACTGACAAGACAGTTTTTTCTCACGGTAGTGTTTGGTGTTTGGCAAAAAAAAATTTTGAAGTTAATTCCATTGTTTTCAATAGTTTTTTGTGTATTTCCAAAAGAAACAAACATCATATTAGAGTTTAGATTAAAGTTTTATCCGGTGTACTGGACTTCAAAACTTGAATAACGGCAGAAGTTCATCAGACACTAAATCAAAAACGAAGTGTTGTTAAATATTTGAACATTAAGTTCAATCGTCTCTCTATAAATGAGGTTTAAAGGTATGCCAGATGTTTAAAGCTGTATATATATCATCCTTTATACGCAGTATATCAGAGAAATTAGTTGAAGTTACTCAGTTCATAAAGGCGAATTTTTACAGGTGATATTATCTATTTCTCTCCGTGCATTCTAAACCTACTACTCTGAATTCGTTCATACAAATAAGAGTAAGAAAACCTATGAAGCGCTTTTCTGGATTTACTTTTATCAGGAACACCCAAAGCCGAAACAGGTGAAAATCCATATGACAAAAGGGATATAAAAACAATAGCGAAATCCATCTAAGGTCAACTTTGTCTGAGGGAGTTGAAACTTTAGTTTTCGTCGAGCCTGCGACTTTTGTCGCAAAAGCGAGACATAGCGATCCTACATTCCGTCGTCGTCGGCGTCCACAAATATTCACTCTGTGGTTAAAGTTTTTGAAATTTTAATAACTTTCTTAAACTATCCTGGATTTCAACCAAACTTGGAATGAAGCTTGTTTATGATCATAAGATAGTATCCAGAAATAAATTTTGTAAAAAAAAAAATCCTGTCTATCCGTATTTTACTTATAAATGGACTTAGTTTCTCTGCCAGTTAACATTACATTCACTCTGTGGTTAAAGTTTTAAAAATTTTAATAAATTTCTTAAACTATCCTGGATTTGTACCTAACTTGGACAGAAGCTTGTTTATGATCAAAAGCTAGTATCTACATGTAGAAGGAAATTTTGTAAAAATTTATTTCCTGTTTTTCCGTATATTACTTATAAATTGACTTAGTTTTTCTTCCAGTTACTGTAAGTTCAGAAATTATTGCGTGCATTTATTATTGCGATTTTGTCATTTAAGACTAAAATGCGATTTTTATCTTTGCGATATTCAGAAAAATCCTGTTTAATTTTTATAAAAAATTTCAAAATGCGAGTTAAAATAATTGCGATTATAACCTTGTCGCATTTTTCGCAATAATAAAAACATCGCAATAATTTCTGAATATACAGTAACAATACATACAGTCTGCAGTTAAAAGTTTTTAAAACATTTATTAGATTCATAACCATCCTGGATTTTTTCCAAACTTGGACAGAAGCTTCTTACAATCAAAAGATAGTATCTATAGGAAAATTTTTAATAATTGTTCCCCCATTTTTGTTGAGCCTGCGACTAACAGCAAAAGTAGGCGAGACACTGGGTTCCGCGTAACCCTTACGAATTTTTTATTTAATAATTTCGAATATCGTTGATACCAATTGGCAACTAATTTTTGATAAATTCGGCATAGAAGCCTATGAAAAATTTGTATTTTGTTGAGCATTTAAATTCATGGTTTACTTTTTCCCACGGGACCCAGAAAAATCAGAACTAAAAAAACAATAATTAATCTATGGTTCAGTATATAATTGGTTTTTAAACCTATATATTTCAATCACGGTTTTTCATATGGACTTTTTTAACACAATTAAGAGTTATTTAAATGAAACACCTTATTCGAACTGTATTTCCGTTCGTTTAAGTTCACAGAAAAATTTAACTTATAACAGCTTACATCTAATACACTTTTCAAAATTTAAAATTCAATTCCTTCAACCAATACAATGTGATTCCCTCTTGTATCCCTCATTCCTAAATTCAATACCTCTACATGGCCCAGTTCTGCCGCATTGTGCAGTGGACTTCCTCCTAGATTATCTAATGTCACTTTTGCGCCACCATCTTTGATCATCCATGCCACAACAGACGCACGTCCATTTGTTGCTGCGAAATGAAGACAGGAAGCACCGTCGAGGTCACGGTCGTTGGCGTTGCACTCTTGCTCTTTGACCTGTTGTATAAAAAAATCTAATTATTGAATTGAATTCTAAACATTAAAAAATCATGGCATCCTTACTTAAATGTGTTTAAAAAGGACATCAAAATAGGACGAATGTAAAAAAAAATCATGCATATGACATCAAATTTCTTTTATTATTCCAAGGATGAAGGCATTGCGGAGTAAAAGTTTGTTCACTTAATTCTATAAAGGATACTATTAAATTTTATGTTGTGTACATATATGATCTATATTTTTATAACAATAAAGAGCACACAATATACCAGTACGAGTTGAAAAAGGAACAAATTGCCATGGATTCGCAAAAAGCCTCAGCAAAAAATCCCCCCGCATCTTTTTCAAAATCCTGGATCCGCATCTGGATATTTCTTTTTCTCACTCATAATACTGACCAGCCATTTAACAATCTCTAAATGTCCTCCTTGAGAAGCTGCGTGTACATAAGACATTCCATCAAAAGATTTCATTTTCATATTTGCATTTTTCTCCACCAAATATTTGAGTATTTCTAGATGTCCATATTGACAAGCGAGGTATGCAGGTGTTGCTCCATTATCAAGCTGTAAATTGATGGACCTGTAATATAAATTCAACATTATTTTTCAAAAAGAGCCACCCAGCTTACAATCCGGTTACTATGATCTTTAATTCTAACGAGTAATGTACTGTTAGTGGTATTTTTAAACGCAGTTCATCGCTCAAAATATGGTTCACTCCAATCCGATTGAAAAAGATATGTCCTGTGTCCACGCTTTGCTTCCTTGTAAGCAAAGCGTTGAACAGGATCTGTATTTTGTTAAGATTGGTAGTGCTCCATCGTTCGCTGAATCAAACTGGACCCCTGTTGTGTTCACTTATCGCTACACTTCGTTGCGGAGCTTAAGATGGAATGGAGGACCAGTTTAACGCTGAATGTAAACCGAATAATGTCAGTCGTTATATTCCGCCGATCTCCGATTGATATGCTATAAGCCATAGAGGGCGAAGAATTATTCGAGTCACGCTGAATGTGTTATTTTTTTATATTTTTTTTGGCTTGTCACTTTCGGAAGTTTCCCCCCTACTTTTCAGGCTACTCCAATGCCACTGAAAAAGATGTGGTATGCTTGCCAATGAGACACAACTATCTACCAGAGACAAAATGACACCGATGTTTAGGACAATAATAATATGTTAATGAGATATGAATTTGCCCCACTTTGTGCTTAACACGCTGTCAGCATGGATTGGATTTTTAACGTGTAGCTTACAAGATAACAGATAGTAAACAGTATCTAGATATATAGATGGAAGTAAAAAAGTATCTAGATATTCAGATGTAGTTACAGATATCTAGATATCTAAGTTTAGGTAACACGTATCTAAATGGTAGAAACAAGTATCTCGACACATTTGTAATCCGTTATAATTGTTATCTAGGTACTTGTAACTACCATCTAGATATCTAGGTACTTGTAACTTATCTAAATATCAAGATACGGATAACTACCATCAAGATATCTAGATACGGGTAATTACCATTTAGCTGTACAGATATCTAAATACTTGTTGAAAGCATCTAGGTACTGGTTACCACCATCTAGATTTCTATATTTTTTTTACTTCCGTCTAAATATCTAGATACATTAAAATAACATCTAGACATTTAGATACATTTGTACTCGCTGAAAACATCTAGGTACTTGCTACCACCATCTTAAAATCTTAATACTCTCACTACTATCTAGATATCTAAACTTGCTACTAACATCTAGATATCTAGATTCTTGTTTACTACCAACTAGATATCTAGATACAGGTTAAAAGCATTTAGATGAAACCAGTGCTATGTTGACATGAACGGCCACTCATACATGTACCTATATATTTTTTTACTGTTGAATAACGCATTGCATGTCTTTCATTGTTTGAGTTGAATGAAGGATTTCTTCCTCATTTTCGTATATCATACATCTCCTTTTATTTACAATGAACTAATCAACATATATTCTTTTTATAACTTGATATACTCTTACATTGTGTAGATAAAATGTATATTTAATGTAGATATCTGATACAGGTTTCATTATCTTGAAGTTATATATAATTCATTTACACACAAATATCATTTGATAGCATGCATGTATCCTACTTTGCCATTAAATGATACCAATTTGATGAAAGACCCTCATAAATCGTTGAAATATATCCTTTTGCATTAACCATAATATATATCGATGTAAATTATAAGATTATCACACAATGTTGACTGCTGTGCCCCCATTTTTGACGTTTTTACCTATTATGTCTGTTTATTTTGTTCACACATTGAATGCTTTATGACTGTCATACAAGCGAGAGGTTTAGCTAGCTATAAAACCAGGTTTAATCCACCATTTTCTACATAAGGAAATGCCTGTACCAAGTCAGGAATAATATATGACAGTTGTTTCCATTCGTTTGATGTGTTTGAGCTTTTGATTTTGCCATTTGATAAGGAACTTTCCGTTTTGAATTTTCTTTGGAGTTCGGTATTTTTGATATTTTATTTTTTTATATATATACAATCAATAGGGCTAACATCCACATGGGTGTATCTAATACTGGTACTTGTACCGATTTCATTTTACTTCTATGTACTGACAAAGGAGGTTATAATGGTACTGAATATATAACTCAATAGGGCTAACATCCACATGGGTGTATCTAATACTTGTACCGATTTCATCTTACTTCCATGTATTGACCAAGGAGCTTATAATGATACTATTGACATGCCTTCGGTCCTATCTTATGTGAGATAAAAATAGAGATAATGAAAATAGAGTGTGATTGACCCATTTAAAATCAAATTCAGCAGTTCAAGTATCCAGAAGAATCATGTTTGCTGTTATTGAATATGAAAACGATCGTGGTTTTTAAGTAACAAAGTTTTTTTCTTTCTTTTTTCATACTGATTGTAATTCTTAAAATGAGGCAAAAAAGAGATATGTTTATGTATTTTCCACCTCCTGGCAGGAAAAAAAGTAAGGTTGTGGGCTTTAGCCTTGATCAAACATGTATTGACGCAAACATCGCTTGATAAAAAATGTCCATTAAATGTTTTAAGGTAGACATGACATTTTTTTAATTCAGGGCAGGTAGAGAGACTTGAGACAAAACAAAACATTTGATTGAGGCAAACTTAAGTTAGAGAACGGAAACGAAAAATTCAGCTTTTTTTCCATATGAAAGGGGCATAACTTTAGAAATGTGAAAGTGACGCCAACGAAATTCAAACTTGATCTGTGTGTTGTGATAATAAGCATTGTGTATAAGTTACATAACATTTGGTTACGGCAAACTTAAGTTAGATAACGGAAACGAAAAATGCAGCACTTTTTTTCCATTTGTAAAGGGGCATAACTCTAGAAGTGACGACACCAAAATTCAGACTTCATCTGTGTTTTGTGGTAATAATCATTGTGTATCAGTTCCATAACATTTGGTTGAGGCAAACTTAAGTTTGAGAACGGAAACCAATGACGTACAGACGGACCAGGGTAAAGCTTAATGCCCCCACCGCTACGGCGGGGGCATTAAAAAAAATCAATGGGGAATGTGTCCATGGGAAACAGATGATGCCCCCGCTTGTCTATCATACTAGTATAAAGTTATAAAGGGACATAACTGGAAAACGGTAATAGTGACGCTACCCAAATTTGTACTTGACCTGAGTTTTGTGGTAATAACTATAGTGTATAAGTTACATAACATATGGTTGAGGCAAACTTAAGTTAGAGAACGGAAACAAAAAAAATCAGTAATTTTTCCATTTGCAAAGAGGCATAACTCTAGAACAATAAGAGTGACACCCCAAAAAAACAAACTGGACCTGTATTTTGTAGTAATAAGCATTGTGTTTAAGTTTCATAACATTTGGTTGCGGCTAACTTAAGTTAGAGAACGAAAACAAAATATTCAGCTATTTTTCCATTTATAAAGGGGCATAACTCAAGAACAATAAAGGTGACACCCCCAAAATTCAAACTTGCATTGAAGACCTGTTGGTGACCTTCTGCTGTTGTCTGTTCTATGGTCGGGTTGTTGTCTCTTTGGCACATTCCCCATTTCCATTCTCAATTTTATTGATCTGTATTTTGTGGTAATAAGCATTGTGTATAAGTTTCATAACATTTGGTTAAGGCAAACTTAAGTTAAAAAACGGAAACGAAAAATTCAGCAATTTTTCCATTTGTAAAGGGGCATAACTCAAGAACAATAAATGTGGATAGTGTCCACATGTGTCCACAGATGATGCCCCCGCTTGCATATCATATAGTTATAAATGGACATAACTCAAGAATGGAAAAGTGTCGCCACCAAATTTCGTACTTAATTTGTATTATGTAGTAATTAGCATTGTGTATAAGTTTCATAACATTTGGTCGAGGCAAACTAAAGTTAGAAAACGGAAACAAAAAATTTGTACTTGATCTTAGTTTTGTGGTAATGAATATTGTGTATAGGTTTCATAATGTTTGGTTGGGGTAAACTTAAGTTACAGAATGGAAACTAAAAATTATGCAATCTTTCGATTTATAAAGGGGCATAACTCAATAGTGGTTAAAGTGACACTACCTAAATTCAACTTGATCTGTGTTTTATCAGTGGAATCAAAATTAAACATTGCATTGTATAAAGCATTGATTGTAAATGATTCCACTATAATCATGGACAAAGGAAGATAACTCCAATTTTAAAAATTACTTGATATTTAGAAGAAAATAAATATTTTGCAATTTTTCCATTTATAAAGGGGCATAACTCTAGAACGGTTCAAGTGACGCCACCAAAATTCAAACTTGATCTTTGTCTTGTGGAAATAAGCATTGTGTATAAGTTTCATAACATTTGGTAGGGGCAAACTCAAGTTAGAGAACGGAAACCAATTTTGGGACGTACGAGACGGACAAGGGTAAAACTTAATGCCCCAACCGCTACGGCGGGGGCATAATAAAAGTAACACCCCAAAATTTAAACTTGATCTGTATTTTGTGGTAATAAGCATTGTGTATAAGTTTAATAACATTTGGTTGAGGCAAATTAAAGTTAGAGAACGGAAACTAAAAATTTAGCATTTTTTCCATTTATAAAGGGGCATTACTCTAGAACGGTAAAAGTGACGCCACCAAAATTCAAACTTGATCTGTGTTTTGTGGAAATAAGCATTGTGTATAAGTTTCATAACATTTGGTAGGGGCAAACTCAAGTTAGAGAACGGAAACCAATTTTGGGACGTACGGACGGACGTACGAACGTACGTACGTACAGACAGGCAAGGGTAAAACTTAATGCCCCACCGCTACGGCGGGGGCATAATAAAAGTAACACCCCAAAATTCAAACTTGATCTGTATTTTGTGGTTATAAGCATTGTGTATAAGTTTAATAACATTTGGTTGAGGCAAATTATTAAAAAAATAAGCAATTTTTCCATTTGCAAAGTGGCGTAACTCTAGAACAATAAGAGTGACACCCCAAAAAACAAACTGGACCTGTATTTTGTGGTAATAAGCATTATGTATAAGTTTAATAACATTTGGTTGAGGCAAATTA